AGTAGGGGGTGTGCAGGAGGCAGTTGATCGATGTTTCTCTCTCATTGATGTTTCTAACTATCTATCCCTCTCCCTTCCTCTCTGAGAAAAAATCAAATATATTAAAAAATAAATAAAGATAGAGTTGGCGGCAGATGTGAGAGGGTTATTGCTCTCTAGGAGGTTGGTCTGGGGCAATACTACCTATCATTTGCCCAGTAACTCTCCAACCCCTAACTGCCCAGCATTGATGTAGGACCAGTCCCTGGCAGAGTGGCCACCAGGGGTCCTCCTTTATCTAGGACACAGGCTCAGCTTCTCTGGCTGCAGTGCCCTGCCTCCATGTGTGTGTGTCTGTCTCCTCGCCCGCAGCGGAACGGGGCTGACTATGCCGTCTACATCAACACGGCCCAGGAGTTTGATGGCTCTGACTCGGGTGCCCGGCCGGACGAAGCTGTCTCTTGGGGCAAGATCAAGATGGATGCAGAGCCTGTCAAGGTGAGGGCCGGCCAGCCCGCTGGGGTGTAGGGTCTCCCAAGCTATAGCTCGGGGTCCTGTGGTTACCTGGGTTCCCTCCACAGGTCTACGCTGATGCCTCCCTGGTCTTCCCCTTGCTTGTGGCTGAAACCTTTGCCCAGAAGGTAGATGCCTTCATGCCTGAGAAGAACAAAGACTGACAACGGTGGCCCGCCCCCTATTTATTTATTTTTTCAGACTCGGCCCCTCCCCCCCCTCCTTGGTCAGTAGCACATCTGGAATAAATGGTCTCAGTGGTCCAGAGTCTGCATCTGTGTCCTTAGTGGTGGTGGGTCCCCTGGCCTCAACCTGTGTCACCCTCAGTCTCGTAGGCCTCTTCCCGCCAGCAGTGGATGCTGCCCCCCATGGCAGTCAGCAGGCAGGGCTCTGTGGGGTGGTAGGCCAGTGACTGCACCACACCAGGACCCACCTGCAGGGCCAGGGCCAGGACACCCTGTGGAACAAGGAGGGAGGGGGGGAGCAGTTATCAGTGAGCCTCCCATCCCGACCTTCAGCCATCTGCTTCTAATGGCTTTCCAGTCACTGAAAACCTAGGCTGCCCCAAAATGAGCCTCTCAATGGCTCCGTCCTTCCAGGTGTTCAAGCCAAAACCTGGGGAGTCTTTTTCACACCTCACATCCCTTTATGTGTAAATCCTCTTGGTTCTGCCTTTAGACCAGCAGTGGTTCGTAAGATCCGAAAGGTTGGCAACCACTGCTTTAGACTATACTCAGGGGCCACCACCCCGCTCTGAGCCGCTATGTCCGGCTTTCAGCTGCCCTCCCCCTGCTGTCATAGGGGCGTACAGGTCTGCTTGGCAGCATCAGTGCTTGCACTTCCTTCATCAACCCGCAGACACAGCATCTCCACACATACGGTTTCTCCAGGAGGCCCCGGTTCCTCTTTTCCCTGAAATGTCCCCTTCCTTCAGTGTGACCTCTGCTCTATCAGATCCTCAAGAATTAGGCAGAATATTGGCTCTTTCTTAGTCCCCCTCAAGTTCCCAAGGTCCCCCAGTTCCCTCCATCCTCTTAAGGGACTTACTTCCCTGGCCAAGCCCCAGCACCCACATCTTCTTCCATGAGACTCTCTAGCCCTGAATCCCCTAAGTCCAGCCTGTCTGGTCTCAGCCTGATGCCACCACCAGGCTGGGACACATCCGGATACGGCTCACAGGGCTTGGGGCTAGAAACCATAGGTATGCTCAGAAGTAGCTCAGGTTTCCTGAACAACTACAGCCTCATCTCCCCCAGGGTTAGATGTCACCGTTGGCTCCCCCACCCTCAGGGTCAGTCCCAGTGGCTCAGCCTGGCATTGGTGGCCCTGCCTGACGTGGCTCCTGCTGCTGCCACTGCCATCCTGAAGTGCTGCTGTTTCCTGACCATCGCGTGCCACGCTTAGAAGCCTTAGCACATACTGTTCCCTTTGCTGGAATGCCTTTCCTGCCCTCTCCTTCTAGCCACTGTAAAATAACACTCCCTTTTCCCGGTCTGGGAATGACCGAGGTAAAGGCAAAGTGGGGACAGTGCAGTGTTGGGGTGGAGAGGCTCACCTCCACTAGGTCCCAAAAGAACACCTTCCCATCCTCGGAGCAGCTGACTACGTGCGTGTCACGCTCACTCAGGCAGCAGTCCAGCTTGTACTCCTGGTTCTTATGGCCTCTGTACCTGGGGGTGGATGGGATCAGTGGGGCTCGGGCCTTACCAGGGGCAGAGGTAGGGGGAGGGGAAGGGGCCCCACAACCCCAAGGACTCACTCCCCTAGCAGCTCCCCTGTGTCCTTGTCTAGAAGCCTCAACGTGGAGTCCAGGCTGGACACCAGAGTGCACTGGCCATCCCGGCTGAAGCAGGTGCAAGTGATGGGGCCTGGGGGGATAGGCAGGTGGGCTGGGGCTCCTTTTGCTGCCTCTGCCTCCCCTGCCTGCCCCACGGCCTGGCCACACTCACTGCCCACGTAGTCTGAGAAGAGTTGTCCCATCCTCAGGTCATAGCGCCTGACCCGGCCGTCCACGGAGCTGCAAGAGAGAGTGGATCCGATTAAAGTTTCCACTGGGGCCAGTGGCTCCATGGCTCTAGGTAACCTGTGTCCCTCTACACTTGCGCCTGGCCAGGGCCCTCAGGACAAGGCCGAGCCCATCCTTTCTATGCGCCCCTCCCTGTCATACTCCCTTCTCAGCCTAGCCAGTTTTCTCAGTGTTGATCTGTGGACTACAGGGTCGAGGATTCAATTCTGGATCAAGGGCATGTACCTCAGTTGTAGTTCCCCAGCCCTGGTAGGGGTCAGTTCAGAAGGCACCCAATCGATCTCTCTCACATCAATGTTTTTCTCTGTCCTCTCCTCCTTCCCACCCTCTCTAAAAATCAATGGGGAAAATGTCCTTGGGTGAGGATTAACAAAAAGGAAAAAAAGGAAACATGCACTGAAGTGAATTCATGAGGGGAATTCTGAGGCACTGTCTTTGAGACCCAGACCCAGGGACCATTAGGAACAACTCAATACGTTTCTGATAGGCACCGAGCATCCTCTCGGGCCAGATTCTATAGCAGGAAGGGATGGCTTGGGACACAGCTTCGACCGAGCCAGGAGACATTTCTGGAGCCTCACTGACTGAGGGTAATACAGGAAGTCCTTCCCAAGGTGACATCTGAACCGGGACTTGAAGGACGAGATGGGAAGATACATGGGAATGGCCAGTCACCAGGCTGGACAGTCCAAACTCCCCCCATGGTGGGAATGGCACTCTCTTGGGCCGTGGCAACACGTGAGCAGCTCTGCATGGGAATTTTTTCTTTTTTAAATATCAAGTCTGTGGGCAGGAATTTCTTCCCTTATTCCCCTGTCTTATTCACTGCTACATGCTCATTGCCTAAAAACGTGGCCCGTGGGAGGTGCTCAAAAACACTTGCAGTAGATAGTAGAAAGGCAGTCCAGGTGGAGGAAGAGCAGCTGCAAAGCACGCTTGGCATATCTCCCTGAAACGAGGCTGGAAATCATGGAAGCTGAGAGGTCAGCAAGGACCAGACTGTGCGGGGTCTTGGGAGGCAGTGAGGCGGGTAGACTTTAAGCACAGAGGCAGCTGTGGCAGGCAGGGGAACCCGGGAAGGGGCAATGGTCTAGAATAGATCCACTCACCCTGCCAGGACCTCATGGTCTGACACCTTCACACTGGACACACCATCCTTGGCTTCGTCCAGCTTCTGCACTGGGTCCGGCCTCCGAGAGCGGCAGTCCCAGCAGCGGATGGTGGAATCGATAGAGCCTGTGAGGCCAGCAGGAAGGTGAGGTCAGGTTTTGGGGGCAGGGGCTCCCCTGGGCGCCCCTGCCTAGGCCAGCACTCACCTGACAGGACTCACCTGACAGGATGACCGTGGCCTCTTCATTAAACTGCACCGTATTCACCTTCTGAGAAACAGGAACTACCACTCAGAGGTGGCCGGTCTTTGAAGGATTGGGATAAAGACCGCGTTCCCAGTGCAGATTAAAGTGAGGACAAAAGCTAGGGGTAGGGGAGGTGAAAGGGTTTGAGGGTGCTGCAAGCAAGGGGCCTGTGAATGCGCTGTAATATGTGTGTGGGAGGGTACCTGTCACCCCTGCACACTAATGCGGGTCCCCTCCGCTACCCACGCTCTAATGAGGCTTCTTTCTGCTCGTACTCACCCCTGCGTGACCCCGGAATTTACGCACGACCTGCCCGGAGGCCACATCCCACAGCACCACCGCCTTGTCCCCGCCGCCGGAGCAGAGATTGCTGTTGTCAAAGGAACTAGGGGGCAGGGGAGGGAAGGTCAGCATCGACCTGGGATCCCCGCCTCGGCGCCCCTTTCCCGGCCTGGCCCCGGCTCACCCGGCCGCGTCCAGCACCTCGTAGCCGTGGCCGCTGTATGTCCGCAGCAGCGTCCCCCGCAGCGGGTTCCACAACTTCAGGGTCTTGTCGCTGCCGCACGTCAGGCAGTAATTGCCGTCCACTTGGGAAGACCAGGCGGGGGTTACCGGGCTGCCGACCTCGAGAGGCCACCGGCCGACCCGGAATGAAGACGAGGGCGCTCACCATTAAATCGCACGGCTCGCACCGCTCCCTGCCCGCAGTCCAGCGTCTTCAACCGTTTCTGCGGCAGCACCGGGCCACGCGGCTTGGGCTCAGGGAAAGACATGGCTCCGGGATGCCTTCCTCGCCGCCTTCCATCTGTCTGTACCGAAGTTTCCGAGCGTCTCTCGCTGGGTGCAACCTTATTATTGTCCCTGCGCTCTACTTCCGGTTCCCCACTTCCGGGCTCACAGTTTCGGCTCTTTGGAGGTAATGTTGGAAAATACAATGGCTGCTGGCTGCCTCTAGGTTCCAGGTTTCTCCCTCCACTACCTGGGTCCCGCCGCTAGGTACGGAAGCGCGAGGACTGCGGGTGTGACTGTAAAAAGCACCGTCCGTTTCCACGCCGGAAGGGGCCACTCCGGCGGCGGAAGAGGGACGTCCCCGACTCGCTATGTCCACGAACAACATGTCGGACCCGCGGAGGCCGAACAAAGTGCTGAGGTAGGGACCCCGGCGTCGTGGGAACGAGGCTCGGACTGTGGGTCGGGGCCCAGGGAAGCACGTGTCCATCCGGGGGCGGGACGTGAGTGCCCCTGACCCTCTATCCCCCCGCAGGTACAAGCCTCCGCCGAGCGAGTGTAACCCGGCCTTGGACGACCCGACGCCGGACTACATGAACCTGCTCGGCATGATCTTCAGCATGTGCGGCCTCATGCTGAAGGTGGGCAGGGCTGCGTGTCTCTGCTGGGCTCCCAGGCCAGGGGCGGGTTCGGAATGAAAAGGGGCTGGCGCTGAGGGGCGGGCTGGGGTGACGTTGGACGGAGGAAGCCAAAGCCATCGGGGCGTCAGGAATCCGGGTCAGGGTGGGTGTGTGGGAGGCTGGTGTGAGGGTGGGGCCAGACTGTACAGCCACTTGGAGGGGATGGTGGAGAAAGCGGTGTCATGAGCATGACGGGCTGTGTCGAAATCTAGTCTTTTTAGGTCTGAGGGTGGGGTCAGAGGCCCTGGCCAGGGGATAGGGCCAGCAACTCCATACCTGGAGGAGGCTCTGGGTGGATGAGACTGGGAGTCCTGGGGGGTCAGGGGGACAAGGTTTACGCTGCCCCATCTGAAACCAGTGGGTGGGAACCGGTGCCTGGGAATGCCCCTTGTCTTCCACTGACCTAACCCACCCATCTACCTGCCTTTCCCCAGCTCAAGTGGTGCGCTTGGGTTGCTGTCTACTGCTCCTTC